TATAATTTAGGCAATCCTATTCAGACAGTCTTTTTGTATTTGTCCTACACTCCCTTTCCCCTTTTATTGTAAGCCGCCCTGAGTCCCCTCAGGGAAAAGGGCGGCCTATAAATGTACAATAAATACCAAATACCAAAACCACTTTTCCACAAAATTTTGGAAATAGCAAAACATCATATTTTTTTATTGAAAATAAAGTATTTTTTTATGTAGCACCTCAACTTGAGGCCATGTAAATCTTGAAGGGAGCCTAGTTTTAGGAATCAGATTAGAAGCAAAGAGGCAAGTTCTATTTCTTGGCAAACTATTCTGCTACCTTGATACCAAGTAGTTCTCACAATCCTTTTAACCTCATTGTCTAAGTCTTTTCTGATTATAGAACCAGAAAGTTACACAAAGCACATCCTGCTTTAAGTGACGCTGTCTTAGCTTAAAGATTTAAATGTGCCTTAAAACTGAGGGTAACAGGAACAATTTTGCCCCAAGTATAAATATTTTCCATATAATGCCAGTCCAGTCAAAAATCCAGAATGCTTGGTTACAACATTTTAATGGGAAGAGCAGAGAGATGCTAAATCTTCATGTAGCTCATCTTTAGCCATCCTGCCAAGGGTTGAGTTTAAGCCTAGTGAGGTCACACGATAAATCTGTTCTTCATAAGGGAGCCACTCTTGGTAGCTGTGTCTGCATGAGCCTGATAACCAATGACCACTTTTGAAGAGAGGCCCAGGTGTTCCTTATACACACGCCTGAAAGCCAGAAGAAAGCAATTTTGTGTGAGGGCCATTAAAGATATCAATCCCCATTGGTTTTTACTTCCCACATTTCTTATGGTTCCTTTTAAAGAAATCCCATTTAAGAAATCTAGAGCCGTTTACAATAAAACAATTGCAGTGAAAAAGGAAAAACAATAAAAGGACACATTAAGACATTTTGTAAAATACAAAATACAAAGTGAAATCTATAAGATACATTAAAATGTGAAGAAAAAGTAAAAGCAACAAGTGAACATCATGGCCACACTAATGCATGATGTTGGTTCATTGTTTGCTTGCTTGTTTTTTTTTAATGTCAGCTGATTATATGTTTGTTGTTTTTTTACAGTTGTGTGATTTATGATTTTTTTAAAAACATTAGCTGCACAGAGTTATAAATTTGAGATGAGCTGCCATATAAATTGAGAGAGAGAAAGAGAGAGTGAGGGTGTGCATAGGAAATTAATCTGTCTTTTCTAGGTGCCAAAAGGGCAGGAAGCATGGCATCAGGCTTTCTAAAGCCCATGGGACATTGCCACTGAAAAGACCATCTCTAAGATAAGTACTCACCATACCTCAGTCTGGGAGGGCCCTCTGAAGGTGACACTCACCCAATATGAATTACTCCATCCCGGTTCTCTGCCTCTCGGGTCCAAATGGCAATTTTGTCCCCTTTGGCACGAATATTGATGACTGCCCCACAGACATCATCACTGTAGTCACAGAACATCTCTCCAATCAGGCACAGCAACTACAAAAAGGGGGCAGGAAGAAAATCCACATGAATATACAGGGAACCAGATGTCAGCATTTGTCTGATGTATTAGGCTTTTCCTGTCCCAAAGATAGTATTGATACTGGGGGGAAAAGAGTAGAATCTTGAGAGATAAATAAGAATTAATCTTTTCTGCACACTGTAAACTTAATAACGAATTATTAATTATAATTATTAGGAATAATGTCTGCGAAATACAAAAAAGAAATCCAGTATTTAATATTACATATAATTACGGCGACAAGGATTGCCTTTTCCTAGAAATGGAAAAACTAACTCCAAGTGAAGATGAAATAATAAGAAAGGTTATGGATTGTGCTGAAATGGACAAACTAACTAAAGAAATCCAGGGGAAAGAAGAATCAGAATTCTACCAGATATGGGATAAATGGTATAGATGGATGGAGGAAAGAAACGAGAATCAATTAAGGAATATAACAAAACTCAAAAAATAATAGTTATGAGTTAAATAAGAGGGTTAAGAATGGTGAAATCCAAATGAAATACAATAGAAGGGGAAATAATATGAGCGGTATCGATTGATAATTGCTATTAGAAACAACAGGAAGCCCCTGTTCATATTGTATTGTGTAAATGTGTACATCTAAGTTTTTTGTGTGTGTATTTTATATGTTTGTTAATTTAAAAAAAATTATAAAAAAAAGAAAAATATTTAAATCAAAACCAGGTCTACATTCTTGGACTTCAAGAATCCAAGTGACCCACACAACATTAACAAAAAAATAGAGCTTCCTCTATGTAGTTTGTTCTCTTAAGTTGCCTACTGAAGGTCTGGATTTTCTTCTGTCCAGGTAGCTGCTGGAAAAGAGGGGGAAGGAAAGCACACCAGATTTCTAAACTGATGGCTTTCAAACACCTTTTAAATTAATCTGAAGGCATAGTGCCCACCTCAGAATAAGCTAGCGTGGCCTCGTTTGTGGAAGGAATTACTGAAACAGAACAATTACATTAGTAGCCTTATCTACTAAAGGGACACAGAGATGAGCCAGCAGTGTGCAGCAGCTGACAAAAAAGCCAACACAGTTCTGGGCTGCATAAACAGAGGGATAGAATCAAGATCACGTGAAGTGTTAATACCACTTTAAAATGCCTTGGTAAGGCCACACTTGGAATACTGCATTCAGTTTTGGTCGCCACGATGTAAAAAAGATGTGGAGACTCTAGAAAGAGTGCAGAGAAGAGCAACAAAGATGATTAGGAGACTGGAGGCTAAAACATATGAAGAACGGTTGCAGGAACTGGTTATGTCTAGTTTAATGAAAAGAAGGACTAGGGGAGACATGATAGCAGTGTTCCAAAATCTCAGGGGTTGCCACAAAGAAGAGGGAGTCAAACTATTCTCCAAGGCACCTGAGTGTAGAACAAGAAGCAATGGGTGGAAACTAATCAAGGAGAGAAGCAACTTAGAGCTGAGGAGAAATTTCCTGACAGAACAATTAATCAGTGGAACAGCTTGCCTTCAGAAGTTGTGAATGCCCCAACACTGGAAGTCTTTAAGAAGATGTTGGATAGACATTTGTCTGGAATGGTATAGGGTTTCCTGCCTAGGCAGGGGGTTGGACTAGAAGACCTCCAAGGTCTCTTCCATCTCTGCTATTGTATTGTATTGTATTATGAGCTTTTGGATCCATTACAGAAATATGGCCACAATCCAAAGAACCACCCGGTTTGCTAAATTAATGGAGCAGAGGGGGAAATAGAAGTTGAATTCTGCTTACTTACAGTCTCTAACCAGAAACGGTCAAGTTCTGTACGCCGCTGCTGCTTAGCCAAAGTGATAAGCCAACGACCACCATGCTTGTTCCAGTTATCTTCCCACATGGGTTCGATACCATCCTGGTTGAAAAATGTCAAAGATAATAATTGCTTGCCATGTACAGAATAAGGAAGGTAATCTAGATGAAGAAATTTGAGATTCTGTTGCCAAAGCAACAAAAGATAAAACATGTTTTAAGTCCAGAATGTCCAGATAACATTTGGAAGAGATTCAGATAGGCATCATCCTAACTCACTGAACTAGGAGGAGGAAGGACAACACAGTCAGATTTATAGCCAGTCTCAATAAAAGTAATTTTAGGATTCTTGCTGTTGATTTCTTGGTCTGGCCTACCTAATGGAACTAATACCACCTTGTATGAATCATACATATGAGTCATACACATTCTCACTATTTATTAAGCTATAGATACATTCATATGGGAAGCACTGGTTTTATGCCAGCAAGCAAAGCATAAAATTAAATCATTATTCCTTAATATGGACAACTTCCAAATATGCTGACTTCCCAGCCAGCATAATTATTGCAGATAAAAGTCCTGTATTAGGACAATGCACAAGCTGAGAGAGTTAAACTTTATAATAAAGGGATCCAAAATATTGTCTCTCTATTTACCTTCATATAAGAGACCCTCATGTCACAATTCAATAGGTTTGGGGTCATGTTGTCAGGACTTAACAAGTTCTGGAGCAAACTTACTTTGAAAAGAGAGTAATCACAGCCAGATGTCAGCTTGCTAGCTAGTTGGATATGGCTATATAGTCTGCAATTTCAAGAACAGGAGAGAGATGTTATGCAATATAATTGATGGATATTATTTCAATAAGAAATCAATTGCATAGGTATCTCCAAAACTCCAATTTTTTTCATTAAATCCAGGTTCACATCACAGAAAAGCAATCTTAACTTCCTAGAGTACCCATTTGGCCTAACAATATTTTACATATTTCAAATGGCATTTTTAGCAAGGAGATAACTAATTTCATTGTATTTATTTTATACAATGACAATAAATACTACTATACAATTCATTTTCCAAGCATTAATGTCAGTGTTATTCATTTTACCTTCATAATTATTTAAGGAATAGTTAAATTAAGATAAAGTATTCAGTGCCTAGAATTTTCTGTATAGAATGAACCAATGAGAAGGAAAGGAGGGAGGGAGTTTCTCCCCCCCCCCAACAATGCCGTTATGGGTGAACAGTTTTCTCATTGGCTCACTCTGTAGGTGTTTTAGGTGACTAAACATTGTTTTTACAGGTCCTTAAAGGGGAGAATTGGCTCAGTGGCTTCACAGATACTCCATCACAGCAATTGCCCTGAATTGGGAGGGTGGGCACATATACAAATATACACTATCCTTCTGATTCCATTTTAATATTCAGACAGGATTAATACAGGCTACAGTATTTGGAGTCTGCAGATTCTTCCCAGACAAAAGAAGTCATGGTGAAATGGACAAAAAATGGATTCATCTGCCCGGTTTCTTCCACAGTAGATAGCAAGATTTTTTCCTTTTTTCCCTTTCCACGTGGAGACTACCAGTTTTTCTTTCTCTTGTATGCAAAGTGGTGGTGGTTTGCTACTCCAGGACTATCCCTCCTTTTCATCATCACCCTGTTCCTAGTGCCTCTTTGCACGTAGCCATTAGAGAACATATCTTCCCTTTCTCCTCCATTAAAATTACATGAAAATACACCTATAGCGACTGGGGAAAGCACCTGATTGTGAGATTACAATCAGCTGTACTTTTAGCAGTTATTTTAAATGCATTAGAAGAGTAGTAACTTCCTAGTGATTTCTTTTTTATAGTAACTGCTCAGATCTCTTTCTATCTATCTCTTTCTTTCTTTCTTTCTTTCTTTCTTTCTTTCAAACAGCAGCAAATGCATGCTAGATGTTCTGAAAACATGGATGGAAAAGACAATCTATTTTTGCCTTTTGTGTGAAGTAGGGGAGGTAGGATATTTTTATTCTTCCAGGACAATTAGTAGCTTGGGATAGGAAACTGGATGAATGTCATTAAACAACAGCAATAACACACTGCTATTTATTAGCTAGAAGTCTTCTAGTTGCTTCACTGAATTTCTGTATTGCAGAGTACGGAGCAATTTACAAGAAGGCTGCTTTTGGAATTGCCCACAGAACTGACATCAAATTTTGTAGACTGCAGTTCATTTGAGAGATACAGTATAGGACTGTTTTTGCTACAATACTGTAGACTCAGGTAGTTACTCTCCCGAAAATAAGGATCCAGTCTGCATCTCAAATGCAGATGTACCTCAAGAATTCTTTAACAGGAAACTAATACAGGTGATCCTTGGCTTACAACAGTTCGTTTAGTGATCCTTCCGAGGTGGGTAAAATGAGGACCCAGATTGTTGGGGGCAATATGCTGACTCTCTGTAAACCGCTTAGAGAGGCCTGAAAGGCCTATGAAGCGGTATATAAGTCTACTGCTATTGCTATTGCTACCATTCAAAGTTACACTGGCACTGAAAAAAGTGACTTATGACAGTTTTTCACACGATCTTTCCAGCATCCCCATGATCATGTGATCAAAATTCAGATGCTTGGCAACTGGTTCATATTGATGACCATTGCAGTGTCCCAAGACCATGTGATCCCCTTTTGTGACCTTTCGAGGAGCAAAGTCAATGCGGAAGCCAGATTCACTTAACAACCGGGTGACTAACTTATCAACTACAGTGATTCACATAACAACTGAGGCTAGAAAGGTTGCGAAATGGGGCAACATTCATTTGACGAATATCTCACTTAGCAACAAAAACTTTGGGGTCCATTGTGGTCATAAGTCAAGGACTACCTGTATTGATCTAAATGCCATTTAGGAAAGAGCTGCTTTCCATTACTGATTTGCTTAGGAATACCTTTGTATTCACTGAGTTACTTAGAGAGCTACAGATACCTCAAGGCATTAGAATAAGGGAGGCCTTTCTCTATTTCAGTAAACTATATTATAACAAGTCCTTCTATTTGTTGCCAGTGGGGTGGGGAAATATAGTAAGGTGGCATTTGCAGTATTAATAATTGTTACAGACATTCTCCAGAATCTATTTGTTCTATTTGTTCCCCTCTGACCAATGTGGACATATTTCTGTTTGATCCGCATGCCAAATGACATAACCTACCATCATATTACTTCTTCAGGATTATATGATTGAAATATTAACATTCACAGAATAGGGTAAGTATACACTCACGCCCAGAAATCTTCCACAGTATCAAACTTGGTAACAAGCCGCAAGTTATTTTGCCAAGTTTTGCTCTTGTCATTTTTGAAGAACCACAAGGCCCACCTATGAATTAAAGGAAGGTACAGTGAAGTTACTAACCAGAACAAAGTCAGGGAAGTGCTCTTTGAAAGCCAAGCCAAATTATCCTCATGCTTCTTAATGCTTGTTTTGGGGAACCGATAAGTGTTCCATGCCCAGCTCAGTCTAAGTGTAATCATAATTGATATTTTATAGCCAATACATACTAAATTTTCAGTTTAGAATACCTGAAAAAAAATCAGGCTTTTCTCTTTCTTCTTTTTTGTACAGTAAAGAAATATAAAAATGGAAGTTAGAGTATCTTAAGCAGTGGTGGGTTCAGGGGTGGGTTCCTGCCAGTTCTAACCTCTTCTATAGAAGAGGTTCCACAAATCTACAGTGCTGTTTAGAACCGGTTCCAGCTC